ATCAGCATTGCTGTCAGATGGCCATCTAGCCTCTGTTTAAGAACCTCCAAAGAAAGAGAGCCCACCACTTCCCAAGGAAGCCTGTTCCACTGAGGAACTGCTCTAACTATCAGGAAGTTCTTCCTGATGTTGAACCGAAAACTCTTTTGATTTAATTTCAATCTGTTGGTTCTGATTTGACCTTCTGGGGCAACAGAAAACAACTCAGCACCATCCCTGATATGACAGCCCTTCGAGAACCTGAAGATAGTTATCATATCGCCTCTTGGTCGTCTCCTCTTCAGGCTAAACATACCCAGCTCCTTCAGCCAGGGCCGGCTCCAGTTTATTTTGCACCCTAGGCGAGGATCCCTTATGCCCCCCCCCCCCGTGCGCCCACCAATTTTCAAAAATAAATGCATTTTAGGAAGAATAAAAAACACAAATAATCAAGAAACTCCCAGAGTACGGGGCCTGGTGCAGTTTGTTGCCCCTAAGGGCCATCCCGCTCTAGGCGATCGCCTAGTTCGCCTAGTGAGTGAGCCGGCCCTGCCTTCAGCCTTTCCTCGTAGGACTTGGTCTCCAGACCCCTCACCATCTTCGTGACATGAAGGTCAGTATTGTCTACTCAGACTGGCAGACTTGTGCTCTGGTCTTTTGGGCACGGGAGGGGAAACTGTCCTAAAGGATCCTTCCAGACACAGGGGGTAACAGGGAAAAATAAATCAGTTTCTGGTGTAAAGTTTATCCGGCAAAGGTGGAAATTGCCCTGGCTTTCGGGGAGTTCGTATTTCCCTTGAAATAGAACCAGCCTGGCTGTGCATGAGGTCACCTTTCTGGCACAAAAGTGCAAGGAGGGTTTAAACATGGACACTTATTTTGGCCCTGGCAGACTTCCTCCTTGTGAGTAAGACAAGCAGGAGATAAAAGTAAATATTAATTAGTGATGGGGAGGGTGTGGAAGAGAGGGGGATGCGGTGACCTTTCAGTTTAATCCCCTGCAAGGGAAGCCCCTCCAGAAATATGTTGGCGCTGACGCAGAGAGATCGGAGAATCACCACTGACTCGAGGACGCTGGTTCTGCAGGAGGCAGGGACAGATCCCTAAGTATTCATGTATTCAACTTTCTCCCTTCAGACTGCAACCCTGCCCTGGTCTTTCCTGTTTGCATCAAGGAGTTTTGCAGGCTTCTGTTTCCTCCCAGGGCTGCAGTTGCTGCCTCGCTTTCTGTCTCCTGGTGGCACATCAGAGAATCCCTATATATGCTGGTTTCCAGATCGATGTTGGTGCGTGGATGGAATGAGCAGGTAGGTACCGGTGGAGCGAGTGAGCTGGGGTTTCATTGGTCTCTGTGGGTCTTTCTTTAGGGAATGCCTTCTAGAAGTTGCAGAAGTTTTGCAGCAGCTCTTGAGGAACCAGGGATGGGGTTAGCAGTGCAGAGTTGCATCGTTGAAATCCATTGAATTAAATCAGTTTAGAAGGGTGGAACTCTGTTTGGGATTGCACCGTACATTATTTTTTTAGCAGAGATGGGGAAAGAGAACATTAGGAAAGAATCCTACCTTGTTATACCCTCCCCCCCTTTTTGCATCGAGTGAAAGGGGAGAAAACAGGTCACCAATGACAGAGCCATGCTGGATCAGGCCAAATGGCCCAGAAGCCCTCCCACTGTTGTCCCCAAAGCACCATGAATACAAAGCATCACTGCCCCAGATGTTTATTAAAAGAGCAAAAAACTGTTAAAAATGTAAACCTTTTAAACACTGGAAGTCATCAAGATGCTAGGTTCATTTAGCCAGGCGGCAGTGCAGTGGTTAAGTGCACGGACTCTAATCTGGGAGAACCGGGTTTGATTCCCCACTCCCCCACTTGCACCTGCTGATGTGACCTTGGGTCAGTCACAAGCTCTGGCACAGCTGTCCTTGAAAAAGAGCAGTTTGTGTCAGAGTTCTCTCAGCCCCACCCACCTCACAGGGTGTCTGTTGTGGGGAGGGGAAGGGAAAGGAGTTTGTAAGCCGCTCTGAGACTCCAAGTGAAGGGCGGGGTATAAATCCAATCTCTTCTTCTTTTTCTACTCCTCCTCAGATTTCTGAATCACCCAATCCCTGAGTACACAGGGCTCTGGGCAATTTACAACAGGTTAAAAACATACAAAAAATACAGATTTCTTCCTTACAGATCAGTTATTCTTAATAGTCTCCAGATGGCGTCCATAATTTAATCTAAAACCTACTCTGGACCAACGTTCCCTCTAAGCTGTGGAGTCTTGTGAGCAAAAATTCTACTTTGTGAGCTGCTGGCATTAAAGTTTTGAGCCAGCAATTTGGCTACTGCATCAATTAGTGTGTTCTGGAGCCATCCTTCCTGAGCTAAGAGAAAAACGTGTGAGCTGGAGGCTAAAAACCTGTGAGCTAGCTCACACTAACTCAGCTTAGAGGGAACACTGCTCTGGACTGTTTTTCTATCTCGTGGGCAGGTTATGCGTATGATGGTTGATCCGTACTGGAAGTTTGAACTAAATGGTTCTTGTTGGCCATTGTTTTTTTTGGGGAGCATGAAAGCTAACATGCACTGAACTGGATACACATAAAAATCTGAAGTGTCAGAGAGAGAGAGAGAGAGAGAGAGAATGAGAATGAGAGAATGAGATAGGGGCTGGCGGTGGCTTTTTGGAGGAAAGTATCCATCAAGTCACAGCTGACTTAGGTCAACCCCTCAAGGGGTTTTCAAGGCAAGAGACCAAGAAAGGTGGTTTGCCATTGTCTGCTTCTGCACAACAACCCTGGACTTCCTTGGTGGTCTCCCATCCAAGCACTAACCAAGGTCGACCCTGCTTAGCTTCCGCGCTCCAATGCGATCAGTCCAGCCTTGGCCAAGTCAGGGCTCTTTGCAAACTGGTGAGGCTTTACTCTTTACCCAGGCTGAGAGCCAGTTTGGTGTAGTGGTTAAGTGTGCGGACTCTAATCTGGGAGAACCGGGTTTGATTTCCCCACTCCTCCACTTGTACCTGGCTGGATGGCCTTGGGCAAGCCGTAGTTCTGATAAGAGCTGTCCTTGAAAAAGAGCAGTTTTTGTCAGAGCTCTCTCAGCCCCACCCACCTCACAGGGTGTCTGTTGTGGGGAGGGGAAGGGAAAGGAGTTTTGTAAGCTGCTCTGAGACACCTTTGGGTAGTAAAGGGCGGGGTATAAATCCAATCTCCTCCTCCTCCTCCTCCTCCTCCTCCTCTTCTTCTTCTTCCTCTTCTTCTTCTTCTTCTTCCCTAATCTCCAACATCCCTCCCTCTCCTCTTTGCCCCACTGGGGGGAAACATCCAGAAAGCAGATCAATAGATAGATTACTTTCTCCAGGCCAGTTTGGCTGGGGATCCTGGAGGTTTTTTGTCATCTTCTGGGCATGGAACAGCGGTCACTCACTGGGGGTGTGTGGGGAGGTATTTGTGAATTTCCTGCATTGTACAGGGGTTGGACTAGATGACCCTGGAGGTCCCTTCCAACCCTATGATTCTATGATTTTAAGAAACTACAGTAGTTCAGTGTCCTTTAGCACAGCCAGTTCTGTATTGAGAGCAGCTAATGGAGGTTGGGAAGGCAGACGAGAGCTGATTGTTCTGGTCTTCCTGCCAGATTCCCTAACCGGCTGGAAGAGACCTCCGTTTCAATGTGTGAGTGTATTTGCGGCACTTGGTTGAGTTATCTTGGCATCACACCCTGGCTCTGGGGGAGTTCCGTGGTGGAGAAAGGGCCCTGAGGCCAGTCTCTGTGTCTCCAGTTTCAGGTGTGGGGAAAGATGCTTCCCGATCGCTTCATGTGGTGGACACTTTCCATCGGACAGAGACCTCGTTTTAGCAGAGGGATTCTGTGGTGGGTCAGCCAGGGCTAGAGCGATAGCGAGGACTCCTCAGGAGAAGAGTACGCCTCAGAGAAAGGGGGGCCTCGTGTAGCCAGCCTTAAGTCAACAGAAGTGGACCCACAAGAGAATGAGACGCAGGCTTATCAGGATTCACAGCCAACAGCTGGTGCAGAGCCACCAACACCCTAAAGCCCTGAAGCAGCAGGTGAACCTCAGTTAGCCATTCCCAACCCAACAGTATCTCCCACACCCTTAGAGCGCTGCAGACAGAAGGAGAGAACACAGCTACAGGCAAGGAGGCAAAGTGGCCCGACATTAGCTGCTTTCTGATGACAAAGGTGAGTAGTTGCAGGATTACTTCTGAGCAGCTGGCTGCAAGCATGACCCTTAGGCACAGGGCTGTAAAAACCAGCCAAGAGAGGCTATTGGGCGAGGAAGCAATGCGTACATTGGACACTGACCTGCAGCCTGACTCCTGGAACTCTGATCCGTTGACCTCAGACTGAATGACACCGGACTTTGGAACCTGCCAGCCAGATTCCTTCATCCCAACCTAATAATAATAAAAAACGGAGTCCGAAAGAACCCTTCTTTTGGAGGGATCTCCCACCCACCTAAGGAGTCTTCCATACATGGAAGATTCCTCTGTCAGCCAAAGGGAAACCTGTAGGAATGCCAGCCTCCAGGTGGGACCTGGGGGTCTCCCAGAATTACAGCTCATCCCCAGGCTACAGAGATCGGTTTCCCTGGAGGAAATGGATGCTTCAGGTGGTGGACTCTACGGCATTCTACCCCACTGAGTTCCCTGTCCTCTCCAGGTTCCAACCCTCCCTCCCCCATCTCCAGGAGTTTCCCAGTCTGGAACTGGCAACCCTACATGGGCAGGGAGGATCTAGCCACCCTAACAACCCTGGGATCCAACACAATACAAGAACAACAACAAGAACAACAACAAGGAGGAATCACACATATTCTTGAAACTATCCAACACAATACAAGAACAACAACCTTATAGATGCTGTACACAAGGAGGAATCACACATATTCTTGAAACACACAGATCGGAAATGCTCCTCCCACCCTACTTACATGGTCCCAGGGGTGGGGGGAGTGAAGGGGTAGGTGGGCAGGGACTTACCTACCCTGCTAGTATTTAATCCGTATTCTGTTTACTGGGCCGGGCCGGTTGTCTCATCCTGGAAGCAAAGCTCCTTCCCCCGTTTCTTTTCTGGGCTCGATACTTAAGCTGCCGAGAGGGAGGCGGGCGAGGAAGGAGGTCTCTCTCAAGACTTCTAGACACTTCAGCATGTTCAATTTGCACGGCAGCCTTTATCTGCGATTCAGGAAGTGAGCTGCGGGGGATACAGATAGAAGCCAGGAGGCGGAGAGATAAGCAAGTGACTGGGATGTGGGGTCCAGTCGCAGATAAGGCGGAATGCCTCTTCTGGCAGGATCCATGAGGCTGTGGTCTGGAATTCAGTCCAGGTCTGCAGGAGGCCCTGGTTGCTTGCCCAGCTAGGGGAAGGGCTTGGAGTGGAGGGGAACATGGGGACGTTGTATCAAGGTTCTTCTACGCTGCACAGGTCGCTCCGCTTGAGCATGGGAGGCTCTTGCGTCTCCGACTACGTCAAGAAATTTGCGGTAAGGGGATGAGTTTCTTTCTAAAGGGTTCGGTACTGACATTTGTACTAACAATATTTGGGCTCGGACGTCAGATACGCAACTGAAGCCTGACATGGGACCTGTGTGTGTGTCCAAAGCAGGTTCCTATTTACGTGACATTCTAGCTTTTCGTTGGGGGGGGAGGCATCTAAACACACAGCTTTACTGTTGTCTCCTGTCGGTGTTCTCTTCATAGGCTGGTTCCAGGGCCGGCTCACTCACTAGGCGAACTAGGCGATCGCCTAGAGCGGGCCGGCGCTTAGGGGCGCCAAACTGCACCCAGCCCCGTACTCTGAGAGTTTCTTGATTATTTGTGTTTTTCATTCTTCCAAAAATGCATTCATTTTTGAAAAATGGTGGGCGCGGGGGGGGTGTCAGAAGGGATCCTCGCCTAGGGTGCAAAATAAGCCGGGGCCGGCCCTGGCTGGTTCCTATTGGTAGAGAGTTTTAATATCACCTCCGTATGAGTGCCTTTGGTGCACTTTGACTGTTGATTGACCCAGTGCTATGTATGGACGGCTCCACGTAGCATCTGTGTACCATTTTCAGTGTCTGAAGCACTGATAGCCATTATTGTAATCCTTACAACTGCCCTGCAAGGCAGGCCAACCCGAGACAGCAAAGCTGAGAGGGAGATTGGCTTCCCTAAAGCAGAAGTGATTCGAACCTGGAACCCCCTTCCTACAACGCTTGCTCAGAAAATCTGCATTCCAGCAGGGCGGGCTCCAAATACATTTCTGACTGTACGTTGAGATCTATGGATGCCTTTCCTTCGTCACTCCCAGCCTTTACACCGTAGCGAGTACAGGAGGACGATTGGTTGAATAAAGTCTTCATATAGTAATCCCTCATAATCTCAAAAAATCTGCATTCCAGCAGGGCGGGCTCCGAATACATTTCTGACTGTACGTCGAGATCTATGGATGCCTTTCCTTCGTCACTCCCAGCCTTTACACCGTGGCAGAGAGGGTTTTCTTGGTGCTAGCATCCGTTAGATGTTGCTAACTCCCTCCCTGGCTTTCTGTGACCAGTGCCCACACCGGCAATCTTTTTTAACCTAGGGGAGCCATTCCAAACGCCCGCAGTCTGCAGGGGTGTCATCCGTCTGCCCCCCTCAGCATCCTACCACTTAGTTTCCTTGCATGTGGGAACCAACCTGCGAGCCAGCCAGTATGATCTGGTTCAGCCACCTATCGGAGAATAATTGCACGGGTTTAATTGTGTAAGGTCGGGGTTGCCGGACTCCCAGTGGGGGCCTGGAGATCTCCAGGAATTGCAGCTGCTCACCTGATTACAGAGATCAGTTCGCCTGGAGAAAATGGCTGCTTCGGAGGGTGGGCACTCTGGTATGGTACCTAGTGAAGGTCCCTCATCTCCCCCAGATCTCCAGGAATTCCCCAACCAGCAGTTGGCAACCCTAGTTTGGTGTAGTGGTTGGGAGCGTGGAATCTAACCTGGGAGAACCGGGTTTGATTCCCCACTCCTCCACATGCAGCTGCTGGTGTGACCTTGGGTCAGTCACAAGTTCTCTCAGAGCTGTTCTCTCAAAGGCCGTCCTCGAAAGAGCCCTCTCAGCCCCACCTACCTCAAAGGATGTCTGTTCTGGGGAGGGGAAGGGAAAGGAGTTTGTTAGCCGCTGTGAGACTCCTTCAGGTAGTGAAGGGCAGGGTATAAATCCATTCTCTTCTCTTTTCTTCTTCTCCTTCTTCTATATGAGATGGTTGTTCTAGCAAAGGGGTGTGTTTGTGCATGAAGGGCTTTGGTCACTCCAAAGGGTCAAGAAAAGGCAACATCTTATTATGGTTGAGTCTTGCGTAAACGTCTGACTTCTGCCATCGAGCTTTTCCTGCAGCCCAGCTAGTAGGGTTGCCAACTAGAGAGCCAGTTTGGTGTAGTGGTTAAGAGTGGTAAGACTCTAATCTGGAGAACCAGGTTTGATTCCCCACTCCTCCACATGCAGCCAGATGGGTGACCCTGGGTCAGTCACAGAGCTCTCTCAGCCCTACCTCCCTCACAGGGGGCCTGTTGTGGGGAGAGGAAGGGAAGGAGATCGTAAGCCGCTCCGAGACTCCTTCGGGTAGTGAAAAGCAGGGTATAAAAACCAACTCTTCTTCTCCTATCTCCGTCTGGGAGACCTCCCAGAATTACGGCTGAACTCCAGACTGCATCGGTTGCTTCTTTACTTATTTGTCCCACTTCCCCTGGAGAAAAGATCTGCTTCGGAAGGTGGACTGTACGGCATTATACCCTACCGAGGTCCCTCCCCTCCCTAAGCCCCACCCTCCCAGGTTCCCCCCACACACAAATCTCCAGGTATTTCCTAACCCGGAGTTGGCAAGCCATTATATATTGAGTGCCGAGACTCAGCCTCCAATGCCTGTTTGTCTCAGCCGATAAATTATTCTCGTACGTGTGAATGACGTCAAATGCAAATGTCACCGAGATCTAAACTGGCAGATGAGCATGCCGGAGATTATTATTGCAGGCGACCGGGGTGTCAAAGGGACACTGCGTTGGCAAGATTGCTCGCGGTGCTGCCCCCAGTGTTGTGAGGAGGTGTGTGTGTGTGTGTCTGGGACTGGCCATAGCCGTGTGGAAAACGTTCCCGTTGATATCCATGCGAACAATCAAGAGGTATGAGAGGCATACAGGGCCAGAGAGATGTGGAATGCGCAGGCCGGATTAACCCTGCAGCATTCCAGGGCAGCTGCCCGGGGCCCGGAATCACCACTTCTTCGCTTCTTGCTCCGAGTCCCCTTCTTTCCCCTGCAGGAGCTGCTCGCTCGTCTTTGGCAACTGGGAAATTCTGTCCAGCTTTTGCAAACATTGCTCTACCAACATTTAAATATTTTTGCATCGGTGCATGACACTAAAAAAAAAAAAAAGCTGGAACTTCTGCCTGCCAGACACTCTTCGGATTTCCTGGCTATTCTGTACACGATGCCATAGGATAATTTTAAAATTATTGTTGTGTCATTTATTTGGCAGCGATTAGCACTTCTGGTCATCGGGAGGGGCAAGGAAAAGTTGTTGCTGGGCGCGGGTGGCTCAACCAGTGTTCCCTCTAAGCTGAGTTAGTGTGAGATGAGCTCACAGGTTTTTTAGCCTCCAGCTCACACATTTTTGTCTTAGCTCAGGAAGGATGGCTCCAGAGGAAACTAACTTATGCTAGTAGCTCGCAAAGTAGAATTTTTGCTCACAGGACTCCACAGCTTAGAGGGAGCATTGGGCTCAACCCTGTTAGCAGAGAGAATTGGGAACATTGGAGGCCTCACCAGGCACTGGCTTACCTGTCTGTGCAGGCTTCAAAGCTAGAGCCTTGATTTCAAAACAAAAGCTTAGGGTTTTTTTTTTAGGAGGCTGACTTTGGAGTCTAGTACAAATGTAATGCGTTCTTCTGCTGTGTGCTCAAAATTACAGCATAATGCAGATCCGGGATGTAGGGATGCCAGCCTCTAGGTGGGCTGAGATGAACAAGAAATACTGCAAAGTGTGCAAACAAGTAATAATCAGAGGTCATTTCAGGGGGGGATTGCGGGGGAACGCAGTTCCCCAGGGTGAAGTGCAGGGGGGCGGGACACATGACGAAGCCCCGCCCCCTGCTTCCGGCCACCCCGCTTCCAGCCCTCATTCAGCCAGGAGGAGGCAGGAGAAGAGGGAGGGTAAGTTGCTTCCTCCCTGCCTCTCCCCACCCCTGCCTGCCTGGGGCCAGGGAGGGCCTTTGCGGGGCTTCCTCGCACTCCTGCTGGCCTTGCAGGTCCACCGCCGGGCCCCTGATGTCAGGGGGTGTGGCATATGCTAATGAGTTATGCTAATGAGTTCCCCTAGCTCTTTTTCTACGAAATGACCCCTGGTAATAATGATATTTTAAGAAACTTGTAGTAGTTAGTGAATACAAGAATACAAAATTGCAATAATACAACAAATGTTTTGTGTTGTTACAGATGATGTGACGAAATTCTCTGGAGTCAATCTTCCGTTTCGTAAGAACTTCTTCCAACATCAACCTTCATCAAGATGTGCCTTCATTGATTCATAGACATTCCAAACGGATTCATCGATTTTCACAAAAGGGAGTAGTACTCATTCCTGATACTCTTCAGACCATAATCAAAGAATGCGGGTTGAATGTCTATGAAGCAATGAAGGCACATGTTGATGAAGGTTGCTGTTGGAAGAAGTTCTTACGAAACGGAAGACTGACTCCGGAGAATTTCGTCACGTCATCTGTAGCAACACAAAACATTTGTTGTATTATTGCAATTTTGTATTCTTGTATTCACTAACTACTACAAGTTTCTTAAAGTATCATTATTACTTGTTTGCACGCTTTGCGGTATTTCTTGTTCGTCTCAGGTTATCTGTACTGCAACCCCTTATTTTGCTAAGCCTCTAGGTGGGACCTGGGGACCCCCCAGAATTACAGCTCATCTCCAGACTACGGAGATGAGTTGCCCTGGAGAAAACTGATTATCTGGAGGGTAAACTGCACCCCTCAGGCTTCATCCTCATATCTCCAAGAGTTTCCCAACCCGGAGCTGGCAACCTGACCCACCCATCCCCCTTGAGTGGCGGGGGGGGGGGGGGCTCAGCAGGGTATAGTGCCATAGAGTCTACCCTCCAAAGCAGCTGTTTTCCCCAGGGGAACCAATCGTCGTCATCTGGAGCTCAGTTGTAATAGCGGGAGATCTCCATGAAATATGCGGTCCTCTCCCCACATTCAGCCAGCAAATCCAAAACAGTTGGGCAGTTACCCTCCCACAGACTGGGATAGATAATTGGCCTTTTGTGGCCTGGGAAATCCTCTGTGGGGGGGAATACTCCAGTGATTCCCTGCTCAGCCAAGAAGGAATGGAGGTTTGCTTTGTGGAACAGATGCTTTGCTCTTGGAACAAGCAATTCTATGAGGCTGATAATAAAGTGGAAGGAAGATAGTGTCTGTTTTCCAGTTAAGGAGTTGGTCAGCAGGCTCCGAGATT